CTAGGACTGCCAGGATGTCAGCGCGGGAGAGCGAGAGAGACAGATGGTGAGCGGAAGATGACCTGCCGAAACATGAAGGAAGTTCACAAGCAAGACATGCTAGTAGAGCTAGGACGACACAGCACTCCTCGTGTCGAGGCTCGCGGGCCTTTGCGGGAAAACCCTGCGAAGGCCGGCTCTCTGGGTTTTCGGCCTGCCCAAAAGGATCCACGAGGAGTTCTATTTATGACGGAGTTGCGATGTTTCATGTCTTTACTTGCCTACCCGTGGACATCCATCTCGTAGGCTCCTAGAATGAGTATTCCTGAGACATTCTCTCTTGAACAGCAAAGTGCAAATCCGAGTCTGCACCCCTGCTTGGAGGATCAGGCGACTCGGTAAGCAGTTTGTGGGTAGAGTCTGACTAAGCTGCCTGATCTTTAAGCAGACCTCTGCACAGAGAGTCAGATGAATAGTCTCAGAACAGGCAGAAAGATGCAAAGATTTTGAGCATAGTGAGCATAGCCAGGCGGAGCGAGATGTCATGAGGGTTTGTTTTCATACCTGATGGGTCTCTCTGTTTTGGTCTTGAAGGTACTACCTCTAAATTCTGCTCCTGACAGCCATGTTTTGCTCAGGCCCTGGCAGCTGAAATGCGCACGGCCTTAGAAGAAATGACCGCAGAGTCCTTCAGACAAGCCGAGGCGGACCCTAAAGTCATGAGGCATGTAAGAGGTTTCAGGTTTCCTGCTAGCCGTAGGCTTTTGGGACAGGGTTTGTTCCTTATAGGGAATAGGTTTATGGATTTAAGCTGGAGCTTTCGACGTCTCGCGTTCAGGATAGAGGTTGCAAGGTTTGATGTTGAGGGCGTAGGGATACGTAGCCACGACCCCTGTGCGGACCTATGTCAATGTAGGCTCGGCTCTTGCTTCATGGGTTTGGGCTTGGGGTAAGTCTTCCTATGTCCTCAGACTGCTCCAGTCAACTGTGGACCATCGGAATGACAGCGGTGGTGGTTTCTTCTCTTCAAAGCTGCTAATCGGCCCCAAGCAGAAAGACCCATCCAAATCGCCGAGCATACGGCGATCGAAAGTGAACGACTTGTGCCCCTTTATTATATGTGTGCCTTTGCAACCCACAACCCTATACCCTGGAAGTTTCTCAACATGTCGGCTTTGAGATTCCGAAGACTAGTAGACTAACGTAGACAATAGACAAGTCTTTTCTGGACACTTCTCGAGCCTCAGCTCTCGGCTTAGAGTGTGGGGCCTCAGGCCGCGGGGGATTATTTGCTTGAACGTAACGTGAGGTTCTGTTGTGTCCGAGGAAATTCCGGAAACGAAAGCCAGGGCCCTCGTCGAAGATTTGACTGCTGGCAAGCCTGCTGTCTGCTGTGCTGTGTGCGTGTGTGCGTGTGTGCGTGTGTGCGTGTGTGCGTGTGTGCGTGTGTGTGCGTGTGTGCGTGTGTGTGTGTGTGTTTGTGTGTGTTTGTGCGTGTGTGTGTGTGTCTGTGTGTGTGTCTGTGTGTGTGTGTGTGTGTCTGTGTGTGTGTCTGTGTGTGTGTGTGTGTGTGTGTGTGTGTGTGTCTGTGTGTGTGTCTGTGTGTGTGTGTGTGTGTGTGTGTGTCTGTGTGTGTGTGTGTGTGTGTGTCTGTGTGTGTCTGTGTGTGTGTGTCTGTGTGTGTGTGTGTGTGTGTGTGTCTGTGTGTGTGTGTCTGTGTGTGTGTGTCTGTGTGTGTGTGTGTGTGTGTGTGTCTGTGTGTGTGTGTGTGTGTGTCTGTGTGTGTGTGTGTGTGTGTGTGTGTGTGTGTGTGTGTGTGTGTCTGTGTGTCTGTGTGTCTCTGTGTGTCTGTGTGTGTGTGTGGTCTGTGTGTCTGTGTGTGTCTGTGTCTGTGTGTGTCTCTCTGTGTGTGTGTGTGTTGCACTTGTGTGTACCTTCAGCAAACTGTTGCAAAACCCGATGGGCTTTGAGCACACTAGTAAACCTACTTGTATCCAACTGTCTGTTTATCTCTTCGTTATGTGCAAAGCAGGGAAGCAAGAGTACAGTAAGAACTACACCTGCATGCTGCGACGCGAGGCTTTGCAAGCCCACGCTGAGCAGCGCCTTGAGGTGCAAGCCATTTCTTTTGCATGACGACGGCGCAGCAGATGACGGTGATGAATTTGTGTCAAGGCTTCACCCTGTAGCCTGATGATGGGGATCGGAATGGGGATGGTGATGGTGTTGATGTTGCTGCTGATGTTGTTGTTGATGCTGACGGTGATGATGCTGATAAAGATGACGGTGGTGATGGTGATGGTGATAGTGATGATGATGATGATGTTGATACTAATAGCAACAAGAACTGCAATCACAACAATGATACGCGTCGAGTGTTGCCGTGGTGATGACAACATGACTCTGCGAGTCCGAGCATCAGCAGCAGCAGGAACAGCAGAAGTCACATACATGCTTGGCACATGGTAGGCTCTTACGTGTTGTTGAAGTCCATGCCGTCACCTTGCAGCACATGCAGGATGCTTGCCACCGCACTGCTGCCGTGGCCACCAAGGCATGCAGAGGAGTTGAAGAGAACGAGATCAATCTCGTGAAAAAAGCTGAACTGGTCTCCAGCAGCATGCCGCAATTTCTGATCAGGTAAGCCGCGTGCGCGCTCACCGCGCTTGGGCAGCTGACTCAGCATTTGGGTGCAAGAGGTGGAGCAGATCAGGAAGACCTGGTTCCTTTCCGTGGCCAATGTATCCTAGAAGCATCGATACGCTCGATGTCTCCATGTTTTGCCCTCAGGATAGAGAGGTGATCGCCCTCTTGCATGCCCTGAAAGAGGCCGCAGGTTTGGGGTGGAAGAAACGGGAACATTGATAAGAGAGGCGTGCTAATGGTTGGACGATTGCCAAACTTGTGGTAATTTGACCTTTTGCCAGAGTGGAGAATCGAAAGATCATGCAAGATGTCTGGAAACATCTGGAAACACACGACAACGGTTCGCGGTGTGGTGACGCTTCGTCGGCTGCTGCAGCTTCTTGGCTTTCTTGCCTGTGCTCGCTCCACCTATGCTCCTAGTTGCAATGATCGGTGGGATGCGTTTTGCTGCTCCGAAGGCGGAAGGCATCACTCAGCAGCAGCTGCAGCTTGTGGGTTCATCTCAAGCTCAAGCAGCTGCTCGTGAGGCCTTGTTGCCATGCCTGGGATTTTTGGTATGTTTGAGACATTGTGTTTATCGGCTTATTTTTTCATATTATCGTATGATCCAGCTGTGAAGAATTGCACTAGGGTTCTCGCAGCTGAAGCACATGACGTGAGAAAATGGCTTTGGATGAAAGCCAGGCATGTCCGACGTAGTAAGGCTCGGGAGTAGAGCCTCCTGCACCCCAACGCATCATATATGTGGCAGTTCATAGCTTTGGAAGGTGGCGGCCTTGCGCCATCGTGTATCGAGCTGAGAACTGCTCACTGCCATGTTTGGTTTCAGTATTAGCAGCGACAGAGCGATTATCAATGCCGGTAGCAGCCTGAAGCAGGCGGATGGTTTCGGAAAGCAACAGGTAGGTCACACAGGTGAGGGATGACACTATGCTCTCGATGTCTGACTGTGGCGTGCCTTTGCCCCAGAGAATGAAAGAGTGGGGCCGCGGGCGGGGGAAGGGTGGCGGGCAAGGTGGGGGTTGCGAGTGGGGGCGTGTCACCAAGTACGCGCAGGCACAAAACAGGCGCAGAAAGCTCAAAACAGCCGGTGAATACGCATTCAGCCTTGCGCCAAAGCCGAGGCGGTTGACAAGCAAGGCTCTACAGTAAAGGCTAGAGTGCGACGAACTGTACGGGAATCAAGCTTTGCAACAAAGTACAAGGCACAGACCCAGAATTCCCATGCTTTGGCATCAACTTCACGAGTGACTCAAGGGAAGCGGGGGATGTGGGAGTGTGGAGTTGGGAGATGGGGGGGTGCTCCTGGCAAGCCCACCGCCAGGGGGTGCAGGGGCCCCGCGGAAGGGAGGGTGGGTCACTGGGAAGGGCATTAAGAGGTGGGAAACAGGGGTTCGTCGTGGGAAGCTCTAACCGCTTCGGCCAGGGCCGAGGCGAATAATGATGACAAAGTGAGAAGAACCATCGCTTCTGACCCGAGGTAAGCAAGGAGCTCCATGCAAGCTTTTCGCAGGCATTTCGGCAGTGAGCTTCCAAAAAGAGGTCGCGCGCATCGGGCGCAAGTGGAGCTCCAGGGTGAGGTGACTTCAGAAGTGATCTGCTGAGCGACTGAGATAGCATGTGGAAAGCACCGAGCGACCGAGAGGCACTTTGAGGCAGTGCTTAAGCATGTTTGCTTCATGCAGCTGTGCAACAAACCAGCCATACGCGTTTCCCAGAGCCATCATCGCTGGGTTATTGGGCCCGGCCGACACTGCCATGGTAGCAATCAAGCGGGACGTGTAGGCAGATTATTGTGCGTCAACATACTGTTCCTTAAAGCTTTCCCATGAGCCAATCGAAACCTCGAGTAAACCCATGAGTCCTTGTTCCTGCAAGCCTAAGACGGTGCTTATAGCAAACATGTCCCCTTGCCGCCATGGCTTTCGCTGTGATTGCTCAGATCCACGACTAGTAGTTCAGCTTTGGGCTGCTCAAGAGGTGCAAGGCGGACGGTCAGCAAAGTTCGCGATTAAGCGCTCGCACGGTATAGGGCCAAGGGGCGGTGCTCGCTTGAGCATACGAAGCAGAAAGCACTTCGGCATCTGAGCAAAGAAGCAGTGCGAAGTGATGCACAGGATGCAGCACGTTGCCGACCGCCTATCTTAAAATGCTCCCAAAGATGACAAAAGACATCTACACTGAGTTTGCAAATGTTTGCAACAGTACATAGCTTCAGAACCAGAACCCGTGAGCAGTGTCCCTCCACCGCGATTTGATGGCGGATTCTCGATGTCTTCCCAAGATCTTATGACTTGGTGAGGTTTTCCCGACCCCTTCCCAGGACTTTCTCAATAGCTTCCCCAGGACCTTTTCAAGACTTCTCCGAACTTCTGATGGCCTTGCTGAGGCCCTCTCAAGGCCTTCTCAATCTTTCGCGGAGTCTCCTCAGCATCTTCCCAGAACACCTGCGCCCGGGCTGTTCACGTCAATTAGCTTTAACCCCTTCTTGGGCTGTTCAGTAAGGATGATACGACGAACAGACAACCGATGACAAACCTAAGGTAACACGGGATATCGCAGGCCAACATCGCCTGAGATAAGATTACATAAGACCTCGTAAAACATAAGGTAAGCCAAGATGACATAGCAGAAGATACCATAAGACAATTAGCACACTATTTCATAAGATAAGATAGCATCAGTGTCAGAGACGATAATAACCGACAATGCAGCCAAGCCGAGAACAAGATACTATAACGCTATAACGAAGATGACCCGTACCAGAAAACTCTGCTACCAACGAGAAGGGTTTGGGCTTAGGGGTTAGGATTGGTTTGGGGTGCAGGGTTTATGCTCTAATAAGCCCTGACCCTACAGCTTGTGCATGTTGCATAAACTCCCCAGGTTTCATTTGGTTTTCCATCAGGGTCTAGATAAAACCCAACACTTTTCGGGTTTAGGGGTTAGGAGTCAAAGAAGGTGGGATTAAGGCTTCAGGGCAGATGATTCAACTCCAGGTGTCGAGCATGTGAGGACGATTCCAGCTGGTCCTTCCAAGCGAGAGAATTACAGGCTTTACTCTAGACGTTGTAGACTAGGGACTGCAGGGTGGTGTGACTTGAGCGTAGAACTGCGAATGTTGGTGTCAACACTAAGTCATTCAGTAGTAAGGTGCTTGTTTCTTTTGACTGATATCGCGCTGGCCAGGACCACAGTAGCAGAGAGCTGCAGCAACGGATATGCAATGCCACGAGATCCAGTAACGGTTGTATCTCGTATGATTGGACATTAGAACTGGGATACCTGGCTGTCGGACTTGTTTGGTGGCTCTCACAGCGCAGCTTGGGTGGCTGCGGAAGGTGCAGTGATGCTGGGCCTTGGTGCTGGTGGTTTGTTTTCATCACCAGCACCAGGGCTTAGCGTCGCTGCTCCTTGCCTGTTCATGCCAGGCAGGCGGTGTGGATGCGGCCAGACTCGTACGACAGCCGTCTTTCCCTTTTTCGTCACAACTCCACCCTGCTTGACTGAATCCTGAGCCATTGCAAGCTCCGCTGGTCCTCGACCAAGCCCTTGCCACCGTCCCTCCGCCCCATTGATTCTACATCAATGGAGGTATGAACCCCCAAGCACCTGCTTGAGCCTCGAGTGTGCTGAGTGTGGGACATTGCATAGCGATCCCTCCTTGCGGGTATTGCCAGCTCTTCGTGGGAAGCCTGACTCGCCAGCATCGCGCCACGCCACCCGCCGCGCCCCCCCGTCCTCAGCCCTCAGCCCCATTGTCCACGAAGCCTGACACTGCTCAATCCCACCACTTTCGGAAGGCAAGTGCGCGCACTGCCATGTGCCCAGCACATGTGCATGTGTGCACTTGCCATCTGAAAGTCGTGGGATTGAGCAGTGTCAAGCTTCGTGGACAATGGGGCTAAGGGCTGAGGATGGGGGGGCGCGGCGGGTGGCGTGGCGCGATGCTGGCGAGTCAGGCTTCCCACGAAGAGCTGGCAATACCCGCAAGGAGGGATCGCTATGCAATGTCCCCCACTCAGCACACTCGAGCTCAAGCAGGTGAGTGGGGTGTGTGGGCATGGACTGGTGGGGCTGCAGCGGCTGTGATGGATTTGGAAGGGCAGGGTGTGGGCGGAGGGACGGTGGCGACGACAACTTCGCACTTATCAACATATCGAGGTTGAATGATGGAAGCTCTTGTGGCCTTGCAGCCTTAATCAATTGCTTTGTCAGTGAATTTGCCCGCTTAACCATCGTTGGGCGACGCAGCTCCTAGGCTGCAAGCGCTGCAACGGTGCGGGCAACGAGTGCGCAGTCTTGTTTGCGAAAGGACGTCTGCAGGAAGTGAGCGGAGTTTTGGGTTAGGGCCGGGGTAGTTTAGCTAAAACACCCCGACAGATGCCGTAACAGATGATCGGCTCTCTAAAGCGCCCCATCAGATGGTGTCGCAAATCGGTTCCTGAAGTTTTTTCCGGGGCTTATCTTTACATCAGACAGTGAAGGCTTGCCTTTGTACGGGGTGGTTTTCTGTGCCCCGGAATTGCCTTTGGTCTTATTGGGCTTGCCTCCGGATGTCGTGTCACAGGCGTTGCGCCGCATACCTTTGAATCAGGCCACTTCCGCCCGTGTGACCGCTTGTCTGCGACTCGCGCGCGGTTGCATTCATGTTCATACGATGCCATTGGCTAGCTGACTACCCGTGTAGACCATGTTGGAAGACTCTTAGCAAGCCAATTGAACACCTCCTTGAATGGCCTCGTCCCCACCCCGGATAGCCCCCAGAACCGCGCATTCAAGACAGACACTAAACCAACCTCCCCTTTTCTTGACAGCTACACCACCAGCAGCTCGAATGTGTTTGTTGCAGCCTAGCTTGAGGGCGTTGCATCTGCCGGGATGCCAACGATCCTGGAAAGCATAGCTAGCGGCTGCCTGGGTGGAAACTTAGACGAGAAGGCCGGCACCGGAGTTTCTGCAGGTTTGGGGCTTGGGGTCTTGAGGAAGATAAGACCCGAACCTCTTGAATCCCGAACGTACGATTTCTGTTTTTTAATCGGACCCTTGACCCCAAACCTTCTCACAGTCGAGGTCATGACCGTAAGAACCCCAACACCTAACATAGACTCCGGCCCCACATCGCAAACCCCATGAGTATTCCAGGCGTTAAGCAGCCTGCTCTCTCTGCCCAGTCCAGTCTGTGACTCAGAAGACATGAACGGCTTTCACAGGTACCTCAGCATTCGGAGTCTCACGTCTTTTGAAAGACTTGCACTTGAAGTAGCAGGCTGTGCATATTTCACCTGGTGGAGTGTAGGTGTGTCTGTATGTGTGTGCATATACACACATTTGTAAGCAGGTAGTAACATCCTAATCCCTATTGCCGCCCAAATCGAAATTAGCAGAGCCGACTCAACCAATCCAACCCTGGTGTCACCAACCATCGTCATCATCATCACCACCGCGATCATCATGATTATCATCGTCGGCATCACCATGAGCATCATCATGATCATGATCATCATCTTCCTCCGCATAAGCATCATAGCCATCGTTATCATTACCGTCGTCATGCACCAGCAACAACGACATCATCATCATCATCATCACGACTCCCCACCTTCATCATCTTCCACTACATGTTAAGCGCCTGAGCATGCGGGCAGCACTGCAGCTGAGGTCACTGCACTGAGCATTTTGAACAAGGTTACCAGCAGTCAAGACGAGGCCCATCTACATTGTGTGAGATGTATCAGCGTAGACATGTGCGGTTTCCCAGGTTGACGGGCTTGCTCGGAGTGTCTGTTCGAAGGGTCATAGGTCGTTGCAACCCGGTCACGTGCCAAACCTGGGGTGCTAGCAATTGACATTTCAGATGCTTGCCTTACTTATACACCCCTTCCACACAACTTCGCATCATTGTTTTTAAGGCTTCGGAGCATCGCAAGCCCCATAGGTCGCAACCTTGCGGGGAGGATGGTTAGTTTTCGTTGATGTGGTGTGTCATGCTTTGTGTTTTCAGACTACGTGGGTTGGGTGCATTTTTGCGGGCTTCGGGGCTGCCGGGTTTGGGCGTAGCACCTGAGATAGTTGCTTGGGTGTTTGTGGGCCTCGAGGTGTGGGGTTTAGAGTTTATGGAAAGGGTGCCTTTTCCATAGCTTTAGACGAGCGAGAAGCGCGCCGGAACCGTCAAACTTCGAGACCCAAGCCATACCAATCAAACACTGATTTCCTCTCCTCTGACCTCGCCCCCCGATACCGACTCTACTGCCTATACGTCGTATGCCACATGAATCCCAAATTCCCAGCCCCAGAGATCCCAACAACTCGAACGCCCGAGCCCGGAACCAAAGGCCATGAATTCTCGCTGTGCTTGAGGTTCGAAATGTCTCGGCCTTCGTCTCAACAGCTGTCAGGCGACTGTCATGCTTCGGGCCACGATGGCCAGTCCAGGTTTGGGAGTTTATGAGATCAAGATTTTGGTGGCAAGGGTTGCGCACTTACAACTTGAACAGCAGTGGCGGCCTGGATTTTCTTGATGGACCTACAGGACACTCCTAGTACGAAGTTCATGTACCAACATGCTGTACTCACCTCAGAGTGTAAGGGGTTAAGGGTTTAATCTCAGTCATTGCCGGATATGGTTCAAGAGTTCAGGATACCATGTTGTTATTCTCTCATTGGCTATTTCGATTGGGCATGATGGTAATCATCCATTATCCCTATCCTAGCTGTGGCGGAAGGAATGCGCAACCCACTCCCGGCAAGCAGGAGTTGGAGCCACAACCTCAGTCGCATCTGTTGTTGATTCGGTCGCAGGTTCGGTTTCGTGTTGTGGGCACAACGGCTCTACCCCGTATGACTGTGACATAGAACATGCTCCGGCAATACTAGTCGCACCCACGGAAAGCCATCATCATGCTGACCATCCGGGAACGTATCGCGAGCAGTTCCGGGTAAAAAAGCCACCCTACACTGTAAACCCATCCTGAGCCCAGGAGTGCTCTGGCCTTGATGGAGCAGGTGACGGCTTGATGCAACGCTCAGATGTTCGAAGGTTTTGTCAGAATTCAGAGGGATGTGCTGGGCTTCCGGGGCTTGTGGGGTCGGGAGTGTAGAGCTACAGTACGGGTTAACAGTCAAGGTTGCTAGAGACTTCCGAGCAGAGCTGCAAGTCAGATCACCAATTTGAATCTACCTCCATGGGCCTTCCATTAATTATAGTTGTTATTTCTTATTAAACGTTTTCCGACCCTGCATAGACTGCACATGCATGTAACTGCATGTACCATGATATCAATGGTACCTCATATGATATACGAATATGCCATGCGCGCTCATGCACATATAGGTGCAAGTGATCCAAGTGTGCAGAAGTAATGTCATGCATCACAACACAAAGGGTAGGTTGAATGCTACCTGCCCGTCTCACTGCCATCTGTTAAAGCATCCGCCAGTCTACATAGTCAAGTTGCAAGCCTAGCTCCGGGCCCTAGCCCTAGACCCCAGCCTCGAGAGTAAAGCTGCGATAAACCCTAGTTGATAATCTTCTTACCAAGCCCACAGTTCATGCAATTCGTGCTTTGGGAGCTCCGGGTTTGAGAAGGGCCCATAAGCCCAACGGCACAAATTTATAAGCTCCGCGGAGCACGTAAACCAAGGAAGAAAGGAAGGAGAAGCAAAGATGGCATCCAGCCACGGAGCCCGACATCTTGGAAGCCGTGCACATGCAAAACCCTGAAGCCCAAAATGCCAAACCCCAGCACATTCTAACACCATTTCACACTCCCAAACCCGAAGCTCTGAAGACTTCTAAGGCCTTAACTCATAGCCCGCACGCTGGGGAGGCGCGGCATCTAGACGAGAAGGCGATCCGCGAGTTGCAGGGCAAGTCGGTGCAGGCCTGGCATTGTTGTGTCCTTCTGAGGTTTCGGGTTTGAGACTGGGTCCAACAAGAGCGCGAGTTGCGGGCTTGTATTGTTGCCTCTAGGGCTTCAGGGCCTTTAGGGGCTTAGGGGTTTTAGACTTGCCTTCGGATCGACGCTTCAATCGCTTCTGGCTTTGGGGAGAAAGCTGCAGCATAAGCCCTCAATTTACAGCTTAGTCTACTGTTTCGGAAACGGGGCATGGCCTAAGCCGTTCCACCAGCCCCATAATAAGCAGCATGTGGCAACAACCTCGAACTTCGGTCATGAGTCAACTACAGAATGCGGCCGCATAGGAGGCTGGTCTCATGTGTCCGGTGAGATGCTGTCGCGGGCAGGCAGCGTGCAATGCCCTGGGAATCCTCCTGCAGCAACAAGAGGGTTCCGTGCGGAATCCATCTGCGTGCCTGGACAGAAGTATTGTGTTCTCACAGGCAATAAAGCAGTGTGAGTACAAGTTAGCGACAACGATGTTGGTGCTCACAAAAGGAGAGAATGGCACAAACAAAGCAGCCTACAGCCACACGATACCAGGCTTTTGATTGGTACTTCCTGGCTTGGTGGCATGGTCTTGAATCAGAGTAGATTGTAGCACATTCGACAAAGTCTTGCAGATTTTGGCGAGCTGGTGGGCTTGTCCTCGGGTCGTAGGGGCAGTGATAGTCTGTTTGTTAGTTCTGGGCCGTGGTTGTGTTTGACTGACTGTAAAGCACTCCAGGTACGTCTGCCGGAACTTGCAGAACGATCGACGAGGTGATGCTGGAATCCTAAATCCTCCATGTTAAACATTGTTATATTGCGTGCCCTTAACGGTGAGGCTGCTGTCTGTGCCTGTCCCCGAAACAAGCGCCAGTCGCTTCGCGCCTCGTTCTGCCGGCCCGGGCTATTAAGCGACGGCGTGACTGAGCTAATCTCTGAACACCTCTGGGCTCTGAAGGTTTCTCTAGCACATCGCTTGGGAATGAGTTGAGGGCTGCGTTCGTCAAACCATACATCGATGTTGCATAACTTAAGCGGCTGTAGCGCAGCATCACAGCAGTGAAGCTTGTGCACTGGATCTCTGCTCCGACGGCAGGCCCCGAAGACCTGCCTGCAGCCGGGGCACCGTATCAAGTCCGAGACTGAGGTCGAATCATTATTCTCTGTTGCCGCTAGTATGTCTGATTCTGACGGGGGATCGCTGAGATGTCCATGGCGCCGCCGCGCTCTGCACCGCCTCCTCCACCGGTTGCGCAGCCAAACTTTGCAGCAGGAGGCGGGGAGCAGGTTTGAGGTCGGTGAGGAGTGCCAGTTGAGTGGGGCTGGCAGCTTGTAAGAGCACAGTGTGCAAGGGAATGTCGTTCACACCCTAGCGCAGCAGTGCCGACAGCAACGGCTGTAAACAGGACTGATGATGATGATGATGGTGGTGGTGGTGGTGGTGGTGGTGGTGGTGGTGATGACGATTGTGATGGCGATGTCAAGATCATGGTGATGACGCAGTGGCATTGATGTCCATCGCAAGGTGAATGTTCGAAAGACCGAATCCGGCCATGACTAATGACTAATGAATCGTTTTATGCGACTACAGAAGACATACCAGTGTTGATGATGATGCTCGCCAGGCATGCTTCCTGTTGCACGGCCTCTAATTGAGATCTCACCTGGTGGTCTCCAGCTCAGTACTGTGAAGTTGTAATGCAAGGCAGAGAGACTGTACGCATAGGATGCCACGACGCGCTCCAGGCGTTAGCCTGCCAGTCGCGTAGCAGATGTAGCTGGCGTCTTCTTGAACCCGAGGCCTGGAAGCATTAGACGAGCTTCTCGCGAAGTGGCGACCAGCCATCGATCAAAAGGCAGTTGCATGTAATAGAGTCAATCGAGCAGGCGAAATCATGACATTGCACGCTATTCCATGCATCCTCAGCTCGACTCCAGTCGTCCCCGAGTCCGCTTATGTTCGAGTTTCGACAGGCATGGCAGTCCCTCATGGCCTTGGACAGCCATGCCGTAGATATCTTGCAGGAGAGCTTGGTGCTCAAGGGTCTGCGATTCAGGGCTGACTGCTCAGTGTTTTCGGGTTGCATACTCTTTTGGTCTTCAGGGTTTTAGTTTTTGAATGCAGGTTTCAGGGCTTAAGGGCCTGGGGATAGCATCGAGGAGGTGTTTCGAGTTTTGAACTAGAGCTTGTGGGATCTGGGCTGAAGGTGTGCCACGCTTTGCACTATCCGCGAGAACAACAGCGCAGGGGCTTCATGCATCGGCACCAGCACCCAATACCACTCCAGCCCTGCTACATCACTGCCATCCTTCATATGAACATGATGATGGTGATGTCCATGATGATGATGACAATTATGATGATTGATGATCGTCATCATCACAGGTGTCATAAGCATCATCGTGTCGATCAGGTTGTTCCTCCTGATCATTGCCTTCATATGTACCTCCTTCTCGCTATCTTCACAGTATCTTGGTGGTTTACTTTGTTTCCAACGGGTGGCAGCACAGAAACTTGTCCCGACAATGTGCTAGAACAAGGATATGCTACTCTTTTGGCATGAGCAGGAGTCAAAACCAGCGTCAATTGTTGCTGCTGACGACTGTCACTACCATCCGCTTACTGCTCCTTGAAGAGCAGTAGTAACAAAAGTCATGATAGCAAGCATCGCGGTCATAGTCACTGCGGCAGAAGACTCAAGTTTGATTGGGGCCAAGATGCAGGAGCTCGATCAGAAAGCGGATCAAATCCGAAGTCCTTCGGCCTACGTCCAGCGAGCTGTCGGGAATGCTAAGGCATGGACTGCACACATATGGCGCCCTTGGCTGGAGGGTCGGCTGGATTGTAGTCCAACCTCAACCCAGTCATCCTGACCTGAGGTTGACGGTGTATAATTACTCATGATCATGTACAGTTCCTACCACTTCAATGAACCCTTACAGTAGTTAGGAACGCGGATCGAGTGGCACCAGGCGGGCCATGCCCCCGGCAGACCGCGGACAGGCAACATGGGCTTTCCGAGGTCTAGCTACGAAGACTTTGACATACCAGCAATCTTTGGAGCTGTTAACAGAGTTTGATCTAATTGCTACGGTTGTGTTGCACTTTCTGTGTAGACCGATAGACCATGTGCAGTTTCACAGCCGACACAGCAAAACATATGTTGCATCGGTAATTTTCTGTCGCAGCGCCGGTGTAGAATGCATCTGCATGTATTTCGCAGTTAAAAAACGCACTGGAATGCATGTATCTGTTTTCGATGTGTTAATTTTTTGGCTTCGTCTCATTCCTGTACGAAATGCTGTGATCTGAAAGTAACGGTAGAAGCGTACATATGTATCATCGCCCTTGAAAGACATCAAGTGCGGTCACAGCTGTGCGTTGGGCCAGGCATGCACCCGCCTCCTCCAGCGCCCATGGGATCTATGATCCCGGGAGCACCACCGCCTGTTAACCTTCCATTTCAAGCAGGCCGCCGGAACTGTTCGGCGTTCTGGTAGCTGTTGCTGACCTCACAAGTGTCGTGGAAACAGACCTGAGAGGATTGAACATGGAGCTGTGCATACGAGAAGCCCGGAAAAACTTTATCCGTATACTCCCATGGAAGGACGACTGCTCACAACTCTTTGCTAGTAGCATCAGTAGCAGTCGCAGTTGCAATAGCAGTAGCAGTAGTAGCAGTAGTAGCAGTAGTAGC